GCCCTTCAGCGCCAACATCCACTGGCGGATCATTGCAGCGGCCGCATCCACCGACTCTACGCGCACCTTTTCTCGCAAGCCTGTGCAGAGATTGATGTGACTGGCAGAGAAATCATCAATCGCCCGTATCTTGTCCTTCTGAACGACAGCGAAGCGACGAGACACCACAAGCTTTCCCCCCGATGTTTGCTTGGCTCCATCCAGGTCGTATGGCCCATCCGCCCATCCCTTTGCAACCTCTTCCAAAGTGGACTCCCACAATGCACGGTCAACATCTGGGCGACGGGATTGGACGCAGGAGCTGCATGTGCTCTCGTTCATCTCTGGGGCCATCCGCTCCAGCTCGTCCGAACGCAGGGCAGGTGGTTTTAGGGACGGCGCAAAAACTCCAGAAGGCTCTAACCAACCAAGCAAAGGGAAACCTTGACTCAGATGTTGAATCAGGGACTTGTCAGGATGCTGGATTTTCTCCAAAAGCTCGCCGAGAAACAGGACGCGTTTGCCTTGCATGACTCTGGCCAAGTGCTCCGGCATGTTGGAGTGCAGACGGTCCTCATCGACACGCAGGTTCCGGATCGACTGTAGCGCCCCGGAAAAGAAGCTGGCCCTGTCACGACGCAGTGCCTCCGCCGACTCTTGCGCATGTTTATCGATGGCAGCCTGGACGCCCTCAGCGACATGTCCGCTACGCTCCATAGGATGCACCAGTTGAGAGGCTTCTTGGATGTAGTCGAGCGGGTCTCGTGGAAGGCCAAGCATCACGAAACTCCCACCATCAGCGTCTGTGGGTGACACTCGAAGGACCCTCGAGCCCTTTGGAAAAGGCAAATGATCTGGCACGCGCCCGCCTGGCAAGATTCCCTTCAACGTAGGGCACTGGCTGAGGCGGTACTTCCTTGGCGCCAGGAAGTCCGTGAGTAGTGGTGGCACACGCCCACCGCGCGGTTGGTCCCCAAGAGCGGCGCGGTTGCTCCAGTCTCGAAGCTGTGCAATGCTCGCAGCAGAAAGAACGCACCCCCGCGCACGGGCCAAGTCCTCAATGATGAAGGACCAGTGTTGACACACAGTAGGAGGGAGATACAGAATGCCACGTTCTGGCCTCCAGGCTCCACAGTCGTATACGGGCCTCAGCTGGGATAGCTCAGGGCCGCTGGACCAGAGAGCCACATTTGACGGCGTCTTAGAGCCTGTGGATCGAATCTGGAACGATGTGGTGTGAAAATCAACGCCAGAGGACTGCAGCAAGCCATACACTCTGCTCCAGAACGCGCCATCGGCACGGTCAACTAAGGTCCACGAGACGCGCCTCTTGGATAGTTCCACGCACTGATTGCAAACCCACTCCAGAACAATGCCACATTCATCGCAAAGGTCCGGGAGCACGAAGACCACGTAGAGCACGGAGGAGCACCGCAACAAGTCTGCAGCCAAAGCCCTTTGAGACTTAAGAAACAAATTAACGTAAGAACTCCGTTTCTGCAAACTGGCCGAGTGACGCATGTGCAACACGTGGAAGTCCCGCAATCTCAGGTGCCCTGCCAGACGCGCTTGCACATTGGAGGAGAACTCGACACACACCATCACTGCTTGCGCAGAAGGGTCCCGCACGGGAGCAGTAGGCCCGGTGGGTTTTCACGCAACATTGCACTTGTGCTGCCCATGCGGCTTGAAGCACTTCATGCAGAGATGGAGGCCACGACGGCATCGACACGGGTCTCCGGAAACCTCCTCATCACAGCCATGCTCTAGATTGAAATTGAAGCAGAAAGGCACCCCGCTCTTGCTCTTGGCCGGGAGGCCCTGCAACGCTTTGGGCATGCGCACGGCTCCCTTGTCATCCCTGCGCTTCTTGCCATTCGGTACCTCGGCACGCTCAGCCTCGCCTTCATCCACCTGTCGCTTCTTGGGGTCCTTGCGGATCTTCGGCGCGCTGGGAGTCGGTAGCAAGTGGAAGACAACAGTGGCATCATGGCAGAACTCCTTGAACGCCTTGTCAAGAGGCTTCTCACCTGACTCGCACTGCTGGATGTTGGACCCAACGCTATCTGCAACAAGCTTCCACAACTGCTGGTCCGCTCGCAGGAGACTCTGAATGCTTGGCGAATCAAAACCAGGCGGCGCAGGACGGCTGAGGTGTGATAGGAGGTCCTGGTGAATGGAATCCAACACTTTGAAGGAGATCAACCCTGCCTGGTCAGCTGCTAACGCACGGCGGAGCAGAGCTTGGTGTACCCGCATTTCCGAGCCCAGGTCGACATGCACCGTCGGCTCCTTTGCCTTGAACACGATCTTGTTGTGCTCCAAGGACAATAACTCTTGTCGGTTTTGGCGCAGCTCATCTCGTCCTCGCGGCTCACGCAGGCACTCAAAGGCACGTAGCATAAGCAGGCCTCGTGCGCCATCTTCACGAACTTGTCCACGAGCATGTGCGCTGGTTCTCTCTCATGCTCTTATGCGGCTGTTGTTAAACTATTGGTACCACAGGCAAAGCCCTCTTCTTTTGCGGCATTGCGAAAATTCTGGTCAGCAGTCTGGTCCAATCCAGGGCGGGCGGGTGGGACTTCAAAATTGGTCCACACTGCCTGCCAGACCCTAACGACACCGGCTTGACAGTCTACACAAGCAAGCCTGTCAAACTGTCGCACTCAACAAGCAAAGAACTATGGTACAACGCTGCATGTGCAAGAGAGAGCCGGGAGTACTGCCAAGCCCAACCCGAGCCGGTACCCCCGACACCTCTCATGCTCTTATGCGGCTGTTGTTAAACTATTGGTACCACAGGCAAAGCCCTCTTCTTTTGCGGCATTGCGAAAATTCTGGTCAGCAGTCTGGTCCAATCCAAACATGCCTGCTGTCCAGATTTGAGCGCGGCTGCCTTACCTTCTCCAAAGCTTGCCGCAGCCACGCGACTGTACGGGGGAACCTGCTACTGAAAGCTAAGTGGCTCTCGCGCACGTGGGCGCGCACAACAGTTGAACATTTCCCAGGATTGGAACAATTCTGCCACCGTGACATCCACACGAGCTTCCGTCTGGAACTGTTTCAGGTGCCCCGGGCTCCTGAAAGCCGGGCATATTAAGTCTGCTGAGCTCGTCTGCAGCTTGGTTCCTTTCACCCGCCAAGTGCGAGGCCTGCACGCGGCAACCACGCTGTAAGCAGCAGAAACATAAGCTCATCAGTGCGCAGCTAAGAGGAGGCTTCTGACAAAGCAACTTCCCAAGCACGCCAACCACGCCATTGTTGTCACTTTGTTGTCGGACGACGGCATGGAAAAGGGTGTTCGCAGACGATTTCTTTAGCCTCGCTAGCAGCAAAGCATGTTGGGCCACCAACTCCACCGCCGCTATAGCTTGCTTCATGTCTGCCGGGCACTGCCAGTCTTCAGGAAAGTCGCTGCGCAATAACGGCAAATGAAACCACGAGACACTACCATCCTCGTTATAGAACCATCCACCGATCCCTGCCCGCTGGCCAGCAGCCCAGGCATCCGCAGCCCCATTGCCTTGCTTCTTCCAGCCACCGCACATTTAAGAAGACGCAGGGCTCGCACACATCCAGGGTCAAACTCCGTTGTGCTGGGCCACGCCTTGAAGCGTACCCAGACGCCGCCGTTCTTGAGGCATGGCTGCCGTACAGCAGCTCGCAAAGCTGCGGGATCCGCTGCAACCTGATTTCCTACTCCAACAAGCTGCCATCCTTGTTGCACATCCGATAGAGCCGCCTTGCGCTGTACCATCAGGGAATCCTGACATAAAATGCCCCTCAGCTCGGCAACCTGGGAAATGCTCAGGTTCTGCAACTTCATGCATGGACGGTGCAGCACCGAAAACAGCGGGGCCAAGAAAGGTCGCAGGTTCAGGTTGATTTGCGTAGCCCACACCAGCAGTCCCAAGAACTCTCGCAGGTCACTCCGACGCACTCTCCTTGGATGTAAAAGCCACCAGGCAATAGCCTTCAGGATTTTGGACTTCTTGTCCTCGCTCATGCGCGCCACGAAGCCACCACGCAGTCCAAGCAGCCATCCCAGGTACGCCAGCGAGGTGCCCAGCCTCAACTTCCTCCAGGACAATGGCACCCCAAGCACCTGAAGCAAACCTACCAGAACGCATACCATGGGAGCAAATGCTTTGCGCGGCAGCAACCACAGAAAGTCGTCAACATAGATAGCTCCCAGATGCTTGTGACGCAGGGTAAAGTGGCAAACCCGCAAGATCAAGGCGCCCAACCGCGCCCACCAATACGCCGACCACGCAGCCCCAAAATGATTGACAAGGTAGATGTAAAACGTCCCCATGAGCGTAAAAACCGCAAAGCCGACGTCTTCAGACGCAGTACGTATCGACTTGTGCGCAGTCTTGACATCAATTGACAACAGTATCCATTCGTCTGGGTCAGCAATCTCCTTGTCACGCAAGCCTTCCGCGTGCTCAAAAGCTGCCCCACGGTCCAATGCTTCTGAGAAGTATCCGATCGAAGGAACTTCCACTTTCTCGCAGAATTTAGCTTGCGGGCTTGCCTTCGAAGACTTAGAGTCACCAATCAAGCGATCCTCCTTACCCTCTTTTCGCACGAGCCCCAACTTGCCCACAGCTAACGAGCCTGGTGGGAAACGCTTTCGCAGGTCCTCCTCCCTGCCCTCAAACTTTTCAACAAACCCTTTTCGCACCTCCTCTTCCAGAAGCTCCCGGACTCTCCCTTCATCTTGACACGCAGACCAGTGGTTCTTCACGCAGAACTCAAGATCCTCTGCCCTAGCGGGAAGGACGTGGTCAGTAGCCTTGCGACCACAAAGCTGTTGCCGACATTGTCAGTCCCAGCCGAGCATCGCATGCGTCCCCGCTGTCCTCTTGGAACCCCGAATAGCACCACTGCCACTAATGTCGCTAGCAGCTCGAGGGCACCTATCTGCCGATACGCTTCTCCTGCGGCGTACAACCAGGGCGCACATGTATGGTCCAGCTTTTCAGCGAACCACCTGCATCTTTTCTTGTCCCGGTGATCTAACGCCCACCCGCCGACCCAGATCTCATTGCCTTCCGCGTGCGCATCTGTTCGGAACAGCTCACGCTCCGAGGCGGGCAAACGTCCCACACTGGCAGCAGGCGCCCGTGTCCCTCCAAAGCCGACGCGAGGAAGAGCATGATGTATACGACCGCTTTGGGCAGCTGTCCAACCCGCTGCGCTCTCGCTACCGCCAGCCATGCGTACAACGGCCCCAAGAAAGGCCTCAAGTGGCCCAAGGCTGTCAAAGCAAATGAGAGCCTGCCCATGACTGCCTGCAGATCTGCGATCTTTACCCATTTCTCACACGCCGTTTTGCGTAACCAGCTGACAAGCCAGGAAGCACGCGACGCAGAGATACCCAGCGCACGCTTTTTGATGGAAAGAGTGAAACCGACCCACGAAAACTCTACCCCGCCGCAAAACTTCTTCCAAGAGAAGGGCACTCCCAGAATGACGTAGAAAAAGACTTGCAGAACTATATAGTCGACGCCATTGGCTGTATCCTGCGTGACCCAGAAAAGATCATCCGAGTACACCATGCGCAGAACCTCGAGACACGCGATCAAGTAGTACGCTGCTCTGCCCATACCGCCCATCAGGCGACACCAGTGGAACGCGATGCTGCTCACACCGAAAGTGCCTACAGTGTTCAACCACAGCATGTCCTTGCTTTGCGCTCCAGTCCGGCAGGCGGTGTATCCCCAATCCTCCTCCGCCAGCTTCACCAAACGATGCGCTCGCTTGACATCGCCCGTCAGCCCGAAGAATGCCCGCGGCAAAATCATGATCGCTGTGCGTAGGTCCCCTGCCGTGGGATAACGAACTTGATCCTTCAGCTGGATTGCGGAGTTGACGCCGACGCCGTGCGTAGCATCATGCGTCACGCGATACGTGCCATCCTTTTTCTCAATCGCCCCCAGCGACGCGAAACGCAATCTCTCACCATACCTCTTCGACGCTTCTTGCATAGGGAGCTGGATCATGGCACCCAATTTTTCTTCTTCCTGAAACTGTGCTTGTACCTCCGCCGCATGTTCAGCAGCTGAGATGTAATTGCTTCTTTCCACACGCTGCCATTCTGCATCTTCGCCGTACTTGCGATGACGCGCTTTTTCTTCAAATTGCCGGGACTCTCGGCAACTCGACATCAACGCCCAGTTTGACACCCTTGGCAAACGAATGATCAGATGTGTAAAACGCAGCGTAGTCCGGGTCTCTGGAGATGCGAAGGACTTCTTCAATTGCCGCTAGAAAGAGAGGCTGGCCCTCAGGCCTTTCGCGTACCGGCAGTGTCGCACCGGCGTACTCCAAGGCCAGAAATAATAGCTCCCGACCCTCATTGACCAGTTTGTCACTGAAGGGGCACTCCGCGACCTTACCAGCAGCAAGCCTCATGGCCAGGAGGCGCATATCTAAGCGCTTGCTCAAAACACTTCCAACCCGGGCTTACACGCTCAAACTGCAACACGCACTTATCAATGGATCGCGCACTGGTCCACCCTGGGCCAGAGGCAGCTGCCAGGGCCGCAGGGGGAAGGCATCACAAACCCAAACCCCGTTTAAAGTGCACTCGGGCACACGAAAGGCTAACAAACCAGCCACCCAGCTGCAACGACTCATCAGCTGCAGTGAACAAGTGTAACAAAGAGAGCAAAAAAGGGAGGGCGGGTGGGCTTTTGCAGGCGAAACCTGCAATACCCCACAAAGGGCCACGCCCTCCACAAATCGAAAGGCTGTGAGCCGACACTACAAGACGCGGGATGACGTGGGGCCGTGGTATGGGAAGTGTTCGGGGCATGCACGGGGCGCGCAGGCCTACCCAACTTCAAAAGCTCGACAGCAAGGTGTTCCGCAAACCCCAGTGAAGGGGTGTCTGCTGATGATCTCCGCATCTTGGGTGGCCATCTTCCCGGCGAGCAGAGTCCGAACCCATCCGTGAAATCTCTTCGCTTGCCTAGAAGCAATCACTAGCAGATTGTGGACGCGCTCAAGACACATCACAACGCAGCGGACTTTTGGCAGCCATCGATCTCAGTTCCAATCCAGAGCGCTAGCCGCTGCCAAAAGTCTGCCGCCACCTGAACAACCACACAACGTGCGGCCACCTGACAAGAAAAGGACTGCAAGAATCTTCTCGCAAGAGTCCACGCGCCACGTCAACCTCACACCCTACGGCCCAACTCCAACAGACTTTGCCAGTCTACAAAGCATCGTCTCTCTGCTTGAAGTTGGTGCCAGAAGTCAGGTAGGACACTCGGCCCCCGGGAGAGAGCATCCGCCCACTGGTTGCGGTGTCCTGCGACATGCGACACGCGCAGGGAAATCTTGTGTCGGCCGCACAGCAGAGCCATAGACTGCACCACGTCTGACAAGGGGCGCTTCATTGCAGACCACTTAGCCACTGCTCCGACAACCCCATCGTTGTCGCAGAACTGTCGCAGCACAAGATCGCCGACGCCACGCGGCCGTTCTGCAGGAAATGCCTGCAGCAATCCGGCGCACAGCACCAGCTGCGCCAATGCCTCGAAGGCGGCAATGAAGCTTTGCAAACGCGACCTATCGCCATCAGCGCAGAACCACTCCGGAAGCTCATCTGCACTGATGCTGAACGAGAACCAGCGAATGCTACAGGCATCCGACAAAGTCATGGCATGGTCATGGCCCCTATGTCTTTCCGCATGTAAACGCCAACCCAAGAAAGTCATGAAAAGTCCTGGCCCCGCCGCCTCCCCCAAGTAAACGCTAGGGCAACACGCACCATTACAAATAGTAAATAGCAAAGCATTGGGCAATCAATCGGGAAGTTTTAGGCATTTCACTTGGCAACACCATCCAGGAGCAACCCGTACAGAACAGAAACCAGAACGCACGAGCTGCCGAAACACGAGTGAACGCTACTTTTTGACAGCGTCTCCCCGACCCACACGTATAGCGTCAACGGCCCAGGGTTTTGCGGGTTGACGGAAGGGGTCTGGGAGTTCAGAGAGCGCAGCTAGCCATGCACAGACTGGAACCCTCGCACGCGTCGGACTTTCTTTTCCAGCCACGAGGCCGATAGAGTCGGGCAGATCCGAAAGGAACATGCTTTGCATGTGAAGCTGCAATGACACTCAGTGCTGGGGACAAACACACAAACCCCCTGGCACACAACAATTAACCCACAACCCTCTTTGCGGCGGGAGGGCGGGGCAAAATTCTGAGACAAACAAGCAGAGGTGGCCCTCAACTGTTGGCTGACCAACTGGAAAGCTTGAGGGTCAACTCTTGAACGTGCAGCACAACATGTGCAAAAAGCGTGTTCGCAATGGCATGCGGAGCTGCAGAGCACGACAAGCAGAGTCATCAAACGAAAACATGTCAACACTGCAGGTGACTCAAACGCACACCTAGACACACAGCCAGGTATGTGGTTTGCTTTCAACACGGGCCATGCGCAATAAGGCCTCGTCAACAAGTGGAGATTTGCATCACCAAGCTGCGCCCCAACAGACGAAGCCGCATCACCCTGTGCGTCTTGCCTCCCCACGCTGCCTTTGTCACACGAAAATCCTTCAGCGCCCCCTGAAGGTGAGCTGTCGCTGTCGCTATCACTGACGCAGATAGCCTGCTCTCCACACTGGTCCCCTGAGGCCGGACCCGTACTGACGTCCCCCCCTGCAAGCGAGGTCTGGCCCGTAGAGGTGGATAGTCACTCGTCCGCCGCAGCTCGGCGGACATGAGTGCAGTTCACATAGGCGTGCTTTTCGAAGCAACGCTGACACACGTGCTCATACTTACAACCCTCACGCTGACAACCCGACTTGCGATTAAACCAGAAGCAAATGCACTTGTTATCCGGGGTGCGATAAGACTTGCCGATGATCTTCTTGACCTGGTTGCCCTTGCCCTTTCCCTTGCCACTCTTTCCAACGCGCTGCCGCGCAATCTCCGCCGACGGTGGCACCAAGGGGATGGGGTTGGACTCCGCGTTGCCTGCTTGCTCACACCCCGCCAATGTGAAGGGGACAACAAAGAAGGTGCTCATGATCTCAGGCGCAGCACAAGCCCGCTTGAGCGCTTCGTGTAGATCAGCTGAAATGCCATCGCGCACGTAGCGGTAGGCCGCCTTGCGCAACTCGCTCTCATACACAAGAACCATGCTCCAAGACGGCGACTGACCACCTGGAGTGCGAAGGCCGGCAACGCGCGGGCCGAGCACATGATCCGACAGCTCTCGGAACGCATCCACACAGCGGTCAGGCAGCCATGAACGCGACAAGTGCTTGCTCTTGACCATTTCCCACGCGAACCCAAGTCGCCTGTGCCGCATCCGCAACTCCTCTGGATTTGCCGGCGGAGTGGTGGTTGTACGCCCCGGCTTGATGCGGAGCGCAAAGGTCGAAGGGTCAATCAACGCATTGTAAGCCTCCATCTCCGCGTCTTCCAGGCTGGTGACGTCACGGAGGTCTTCTGCGTGCGGAGCATTGTCGTCTCTAGAGTTGTATTCACACAAAAGTCCCACCCGCCAGCCCTCACGACTCCGTGACACCCTGCGCATCATTTTCCTGGGATGCGCAAATCGAGCAGTTCAGCTGATTTCAGCCATCCTAGCATGGAACTACCAAATTCCCTGGAGGTGCATGGGGCGGCGGTGGGCAAGTCTAAAGCGCAACCTAGCAAGAACAGACCTCTACCCTTTGCAGACCCTTCGAGCTGCAAAGGCTTCGACACTGCAAACTGTGTTCAAGGCAACAACGAGACGCTTACCGTGCTTCGCTTCGCTACGCACTAACCAGCTTCTACCTGCTCGAGCTTCCGGGCCAAGATCATTTTACTTGGTAGCTCCTTATCCTTGAGCTTGCCATAGATCTTCTCGACCGCTGTCCGCATGGCCGCATGCTCCGTTGACGGCACATTGCGTGCCTGAACCCCTAACTTTGCATCCGTCTTGTTCTTCTCCTGCACAGCCAGATGTAAGCGGCATGCGTCCCACACCGCGAGCAACAAGGCCATGTTCCGCCGGGATTCTGCATCGGCGGAATAGTCGAGTGGGAGTTCGTCCTTGAGAGCCTTTCGCACCTCGGCCTTCGTCTCATCGATGCCCGCAAAGACACGGATGCAGTCAAAGCCCTTGCGGTAAGCTAGAAGCTGGATTGGTAAGGGTACGCCCGCTTCATCCATCTGAAACTTCAGCTCAGACTCCACCTTGGCCAAAACCGCTGCATCATCGGCTCCCGGCATGGCACCACAGTACCTTGCAGCGGACAGAAGGCGCAGTACGCATAAGTAATACACAGTCACGTCATCAGCAGACACCAGCCGATGATTAGCCGGGACAAGAAGCAGTACAGAGCCTCTGTCACAAAAGCTGCGCAGCAACGCTTCGTGCACATGAGGAGCCGCAGACACTGATCAGCAACACTAGCCGATAATTCGCACGACGCTTTGGCAAGCACACTACTCGCCGGCCGATTCCGATTCCGTAGCGCTACTGGAACTACTAGAGGAGCTCCCTTCGCTACTGCTGGCTTCAATCAGGTCATCACTGTCATCTGGGACTTTGCCCCGACCCCAGCAATGCTTGCAGGCCAGATCGTACTCAGCACCCCTCAAATGCAGCAAAGGCATCGTTTCGCGAAGGTCGCCAGGCACTGTGCCGCAGCCGCCCTTGCGGCGTAGGCGGCGCAAACGCTTCTTGCCAACCACAGAAATGAAATACGGAGCATCCTCGCTGCCCGCAGGACATGCAATTATGTCAACTTCAGGCGCGACAGGCAACGGTGGAACGCCTGGACCATGGCTTGCCCCAATCGACATCTGCCGCTTCTGCAAGAAGAAGCACCAGCTTCTTGTCTTGGGCCTGCATCATGTCTGCAGTGTATCCCTGCGACTGCAGAAAATCAAGTAGATCATCGATGCCGGCACGGCACAGATCAGCGTTCCCAGCTACGCCACGCGCAGCAGTCTGCTGCAGTTGCAAGACGATCTCCCTGGCAGCGCGAATGTACTCGTCGGAGGATGAAGCAGCGTGCCAGCGCCCCACAAAATCTCTCTGTTCACGCGGCACGCCCAAACCAGCAAGCAAGGATATCAGCCAGTTGCGTTCCGAGCGCTCGCTCCAGAGCCGCAGACACTCCTCAGCATCGAATAGAAATTCTTCCGTCAGAGCCCATCCGTCTGCCAGTTTGGCCGCATGCGCCAGACTGATTTTGTCAGAGCCACTGTCTGCGCGTAGTCCGCCATTGTCCGCCGTACGCCCGAGCGGTCACTGTTCGGTAAGGGCAGGAAGAAGTCGCGCTCAAAGCGCATGCTATCGCAGCTCCAAATCTCCCAGCCCACGCTTAACCAGTTAGACACGGCAATGAATGCACGACGGCTCACAAATATAGGTAGATAACGGATCCGCTTTCCTGGGCCACTCACCTTCGTGCGATCCAACATGCCTTGTAGACCCAACGAGGTGAGACGCAGCGTGGAGGGGTTCAGCCCAGACAAATCGCTAGTACGACACGCTGTCCAAAGCTTTAACAACTTATAGAAAGCAAATCCACGAACACACAATTCTGCAGCCTCGTTGACGACTAGCAACTCCAGAGACACTACGGCAGCCACCGGCAGCATGGGCGCTTGTCGCTTTGGCTCAGCTCCTGTCTCGAGCTCTGCAGTACACTGGTTCACGCTGTTCTTGACCATCTGCATGTCGGATAGCCGCTCAGCTGCAGGGACGCCGCCAGCCTTTTCGACAAAACTCAAGCAACTCAGGATGGCAGCTGGAACCGTCCGTGCACAGGGCTCAATTCGACGCTCATGTAGATAATCCAGAAACACGCCCACGTGACGCGGCCAACCAGATTTCGAAGTGGCTAAGCAGTGCGCACGGAGTTTGCGGAATTCGCGCACGTGCTTCCTGATTGTGGAAGCCCTTGCCGAACCCAGGGCTGACGACAAAGCAGTGTCTGGGTTGCTGGCTAGACTTGCTTGACTGCAAACCGGCAGATCGGCATCCCGAAGGATGGCCACCAGCTCACCCCTCCAACGAATCAGCTCCTGATCTTCTCTCTTTGCGGGAAACTCCATCACGCGCCTCTGCCAGGCGCCGAGCCCGCCTTGTGGGCCATACTCCCCGACGCTTGATTGCTCCTGCCTTTCGACGCCACGCCGTAGTGAAGGTTGCGTCTGGCGCCTGTGCTCGGCGCAGCTTATTTGCTCGCACCACCATACCCTGCGTGGGTACAGGGACCAGCGCCCTGCGCTTGTGAAGTCGAGAGGCTTCCACTATGGCCCGGGACTTCAACGCAGTCAAGGTCGCACTGGCATCAACCAGTACATCGGGATCAGACCAGCCATTGTCGCAGCTTGGCATCACCCCGCCAGCCTCGCCGAAGAGTAGCTGAAGGCGCCGCGGCAACGAGGCCCAAAGCTCAGCCATCACCAAAGTCGAAAATGGGCTGCGGTCGCACTACAGTACGACACCACACTAGCCCAACCACAACTTGGAACAAATCTCACAAAGCAACCCTACACTTTTGCCCCCACGACACACTGGCCCTGAGAGCACGGTTGCTGCAGCATGACACTCAGCGTCAACGCAGGACCACGCAACACTCAACTAGACGCGTCGTCAGCACGCTCAGATCTCACTTGGATGCACGCACGCGTGCACCTCGCGTCACTACGAGGCACGTGTTTCCCTGCTTGACTTGCCCATCTTGAGTGACGACCCATGACCCTTGGCCTTCTTGGCATTCAATCAAGGGCAATTTGCCAGCCACAACACCTAGGCAGCCCCCGCCCAGCGCCTGCAGCTTGCCTCCTGCACCTGCAAAGATCTCTGCACCCGCGCCGCCCACAACCGCATCTATGCAAGACTTTGCTGCCACACCGCTGCTTGACGCAACCACACATTGCTCCTGAGCTGCTGGGACACCGCTGACCAGCATGAAGGCAGATGGCCTTGCGATCGCCACTGCATTGGACAAGCCAAAATACCCCCAAGGCTTGGCGCCACGCATCAAAACTTTCACAGCCTTTGCAGCCACTGGCTCAGGGAACAAGATCGTGTCCTCGAAGCTGGGCTCTGGCCTCGAAAGCTTCCGCCAACCGACACTCTCCTCGAAATGCCCACCCCCTAAGGGGGGGGAGGGGTGGGGGGGGGGGTTGGAAATAGGTGGCCGCCTATTGCTGTTAGAGTGGTTGGGGGGGTGGGGGGGGGTGGACTACTCTAACATGTCCAAGCTAGAGCACAAGTGCAAAAAGCATACTACATACTTATCGCTTGTACGGATCAAGATGCACAATCACGTGCTAGTGTACACGCTGGTTGCGCACACGTCTTTATAGGCGCGTGCTAGTGTACACGCTGGTTGCGCACACGTCTTTATAGGCGCGACCCCTAGTCATCCTATGGCAGCCTCAAACCCCCTTTTGAGGGCGAGGACGAACTGCCTGACGCTACCTGACTCTACTCGAGCATGGGGTCCGACAGGACCGCGTGCAGGGAGTTGCGGCCGCCTTTGCGGGCCCTGCTACAACCAGGGTGGGCGGGTGGGTTCCGCCAGGAGGCGCCAAAGCGTATGAACGCAAGGCGAACGACGTGGCAGTCCGTGACGGCACGGAGAAACAGAAGCAGGGAGTTGCAGCCGCGTCAGCGGGCCCTGCTGTAGGCATGCCCAGGGTGGGCTGGGTGGGTCAAAATTTTGCGCACTGCGATGGAGCCAGTGCTGCACACATGAAGAGCTCAAGCAAACTTCGCAACATGCAGTAAAGAATACAAACAACATGCCAAGTTGTTTGCTGCACATGACGCCATGCAAAGTATAAAATAACTTTTGGCTTCAAACCAAGAACAACGGCCCGCCGTTTTTCATGAGGCAATTTGGAAGCAAGCGATAAAACACGATTCGCTCGCGAACAGTAAGCTTATCGCTTGTACCAAATTGGTTTGAACCCAAAAGCTCAAGCCAGACACACAGACTCCCTGAAGCATGAACCGTGACACCCCAGGTCACCATCCCTTTCTTTTTATCAATGGGCGGATCAAGATGCACAATCACGTGCTAGTGTACACGCTGGTTGCGCACACGTCTTTATAGGCGCGACCCCTAGTCATCCTATGGCAGCCTCAAACCCCAATTAACCGAAAACCAATGCAGGAGCGTCGCCGCGCTGGAAACGCATTAGATCACAGGACAGTGATCCACGCCCCTCTGTAGAAGTGTGGCCATATGCCTTGAAGGGGGAGCCTGTGCACCTTAAAGGAAAGGTGCGCACTCACGCATCCCACGGAGAGGGAGAATATGCAAACCCAGACCCACTACGTAGACCGTTCCGGGACAAGCCGATGCCCACACGGGCATGGCAAGCGAGTGAACCAAACACGCGCCCTATGGGTAGGAGCACCCGACACTGCCACTTGAACGGCCTCCAGGAGAACGTAAGAACCCGCACAGTGGGCAGACAGGAAGCCGGCCACATGGCGCACATGTTGTTAGCCAGTAGGTTGCCCAAGACTGGCGGCACCAACGACCACACACCAGGTTTGCAGCTTTCTCCTCCCTAGACGTGCTTGGGAAGACCTGTTTCCCAGCATGTCATCCGAAGTTGACAGCTACACTCCGCTCACTGTAGAGCAGGCAGCGCACTCCGTGGACACGCACTGACATTTGGCGTGAGCATAAGTAGGCACGGTCGTAACATGAAGCCAACTGCGTGCGGGGGGGGGCTTACAACTTACCTCTCACTGATGAGACCGCCTGCACACTCGGCGGCTGACGTCGCGGGCCCGTGTTGCCGTCACCACCCAGACCTGTACTTTATTTAAATCAAAAATACATTGAACACGCAGCCCAAGTGGGTGCACAGTAATGCACGAATCACTCCTTGGTGAGTGAGGTGTATCAACACACAGTGGGCCCCCCCCCCCTTGTCTCGCCTAACAGTGCGGGGAAGCAAGGCGAAGGTTCGGAACCCTTCAGACATTCACGCTCCCGTAGCAACCGACACAGCGTGCCGCAGGAATGAGATCGGCATCGAGCAGACTATGGCAAAGTACCCAGGCACCACATCTAGTTGCAGTCCTTGGGGAGGAGGCGGAGGTGGACTTGATTTCTCGGCGTTCTGAGACATGACTGTGAACAGCAGGGCCCACCTCTCTCGTCATCGCTTCCAACAGAGTGACCGCTTGGGCTCGATGACGGGATTCACTTATTTGCACACCGACTCCTTCATTGCAGATTTGACACTCTGTGGTCCTGCACAAGTTATGGCTGCGTGGCCATAAGATGAGCCTGCAACCTATGCTGCACCGACTCCGACATGAGGCCTGTTGTGCACGACGCATCCTTGAGGGCTTGTGGCAGACCACTCCTTCAGAGGCTCCGTTATGGAAGCTTGCGCCCCAACTCATCCTTGAGGACTTGTGGCAGAGCATCCTTGGGCAACCAGTCTTGACAGCTTCACAGCCAAACTGTTCCCGGGGAACCGGTGGCACACCCTATACGGGCACATTGAGACGTCGGAACCAAATGAACCGAAAAGAGGAACCCCCCCCCAGACTTCATCATAGAAGCTTGCGTGCACAACGCATCCTTGGGAACTTATAGCAGAGCAACCCTCACGAGATTCCGTTATGGAAGCCTGCGTGCACATCGTGCACAACTCATCCTTGAGGACTCGTGGCAGAACACTCCTCGGGAGTCCGTGGGTGACCAGCTTCACGGACAAACTGTTCCGGGAAGCGGCGGGATACTCGCGTCAGAGCAAGCCTCCCGAGTCCTTGGGTGTCCATCCTTGGCAGCTTCACAGGCAAGCTGTTCCGGGGGAAGCAGCGGTAGCTTCACAGGCAAACTGTTCCGGGGGAAGCAGCGGCACTCCCAGACCCACCACTAAAACCCCCAGACCCGAAGAGACCCGGAGAAGCACCCACACCCAGAAACCACCACAGAAAACCCCCAGCTTAACCGGAGCATCACGCAGAACACAAGAGGCTGACCTGAGACGCGTGGCGGCAAGACACGCCCGGCTTGAGACACAAAGGGGGCCGAGGCGGGCAGACAGCCAGACGCTGGGGCTCCACTGGCTGCACCCCAGTGCTTCTGGGGCTGTCACGCTTATGGTCACAGATGGGGCGTGCGTGGAAACACTGGGAGTGCCTCGGCCCCGACCTGCGCTATGCTCACATTTGCGCTTAAGTTTCTGGCGTTCCTTGTCACTCCCCGTTCGCTGCGGGAGCGGACGTCCACACCAGATGTGCCATCAGTTGCTACCCGTGCATGCACACCATCCTCAAAACGCGCACAAACACCTGCCTCTCAGCCCCAACCAGCTGCACCTCGGCGCACCTCGGGAAGCCTCCCTGTGGAGATGGCTGACCAAGCAGGAGATGCACTTCACGTAGGCCACTTTCGCCAGTACCTCGCCGCGTGCATGAAAGACACACTCACTCGAGAATCATGCGGCCGTTTGGCCATGTCTTTAAGACAGATCGTCAGCTCACACACACACACACAAGGCACCATGTACCCTCACACTCGTGCATGAGACAAAGACCCTCATGACAAACCCATGACCTTAAAAGCAACGCACTATCCACATGTCCCTGAGCCTGCGTTCAGAACGTGCATGAAGAATGCCAGCAGTGAGAATCATGAGGCTTCTTGGCCACGTTTTTAAGACAGCCCTTTGGAGGCACCATGTGCCCTCACTTACATGAGTGGCCCCTCGGCTCACACACAAGGCACCATGTGCCCTCACTTACATGAGTGGCTCCTTGGCTCACATACACGGCACCATGTGCCCTCACCTTCATGAGTGGCCCCTTGGCCAAGGCACCATGGGCCCACACCTCATGAGTGGCCCCTTGGCCAAGGCACCAGGTGCCCTCACTTTCATGAGTGGCCCCTTGGCCAGATCTTGAAGACGGCCCCTTGGCTTACACGCAAGGCACCAGTGCCCTCACTCGCGTGCATGAGACAAGGGCTCATGATCCCCTTGGCGGACATCAGCTTACAGCTTCCTTTTCTGAGGCACGCAACCTTTGGAGAACTTTCTCAGAGGCTGCGTAAGACAGGCAGCGCAACTCTGCGCCACCGGAGAACCCCTCATGGGCATCACCACCCAGGGGCAAGCACCACTGCATGTGCAGCACGCACGTGCGGCGCAGCTTCCTGGAGACTGCCTCAGAGGCCACACGGTAGAGCGCGGCGCATACACACTCCATGCCATCGACTGCTCACTCGCCGCGAACAACGGCTGTCAGGCACGTGAAGACAGCCCCTGGGTTCACACACACAAGGCACCAGCACCTTCACCCTCACGCATGAGAGAAGGGCTCATGAGCCCCTTGGTTGACATCAGCTTACAGCTTCTTTTTACGTGAAGCACGCAACCTTTGGAGAACTTTTCAGAGGCCGCGTAAGACAGGCAGCGCAA